CTTTTGAGCCGGCTCAAAACCAGTTGACTTTTGAGCCGACTCAAAACGAGTTGACTTTTGAGCCGACTCAAAACGAGTTGACTTTTGAGCCGACTCAAAACCAGTTGACTTTTGAGCCGACTCAAAACCAGTTGACTTTTGAGCCGACTCAAAACCAGTTGACTTTTGAGCCGACTCAAAACGAGTTGACTTTTGAGCCGACTCAAAACGAGTTGACTTTTGAGCCGACTCAAAACGAGTTGACTTGCGAGCCGACTCAAAACGAGTTGACTTTCGAGCCGACTCAAAACGAGTTGACTTTCGAGCCGACTCAAAACGAGTTGACTTTCGAGCCGACTCAAAACGAGTTGACTTTTGAGCCGACTCAAAACGAGTTGACTTTTGAGCCGACTCAACACGAGTTGACTTTTGAGCCGACTCAAAACGAGTTGACTTTTGAGCCGACTCAAAACGAGTTGACTTTTGAGCTGACTCAAAGCAAGTTGACTTTTGAGCTGACTCAAACCGAGTTGACTTTTGAGCCGACTCAAAACGAGTTGACTTTCGAGCCGACTCAAAACGAGTTGACTTTTGAGCCGGCTCAAAACCAGTTGACTTTTGAGCCGACTCAAATCGAGTTGACTTTTGAGCCGACTCAAAACGAGTTGACTTTTGAGCCGACTCAAAACCAGTTGACTTTTGAGCCGGCTCAAAACCAGTTGACTTTTGAGCCGACTCAAAACGAGTTGACTTTTGAGCCGACTCAAAACGAGTTGACTTTTGAGCCGACTCAAAACCAGTTGACTTTTGAGCCGACTCAAAACCAGTTGACTTTTGAGCCGACTCAAAACCAGTTGACTTTTGAGCCGACTCAAAACGAGTTGACTTTTGAGCCGACTCAAAACGAGTTGACTTTTGAGCCGACTCAAAACGAGTTGACTTTTGAGCCGACTCAAAACGAGTTGACTTTTGAGCCGACTCAAAACGAGTTGACTTTTGAGCCGACTCAAAACGAGTTGACTTTTGAGCCGACTCAAAACGAGTTGACTTGCGAGCCGACTCAAAACGAGTTGACTTGCGAGCCGACTCAAAACGAGTTGACTTTCGAGCCGACTCAAAACGAGTTGACTTTCGAGCCGACTCAAAACGAGTTGACTTTCGAGCCGACTCAAAACGAGTTGACTTTTGAGCTGACTCAAAACGAGTTGACTTTTGAGCCGACTCAAAACGAGTTGACTTTTGAGCCGACTCAAAACGAGTTGACTTTTGAGCTGACTCAAAGCAAGTTGACTTTTGAGCTGACTCAAACCGAGTTGACTTTTGAGCCGACTCAAAACGAGTTGACTTTCGAGCCGACTCAAAACGAGTTGACTTTTGAGCCGGCTCAAAACCAGTTGACTTTTGAGCCGACTCAAAACAAGTTGACTTTTGAGCCGACTCAAAACGAGTTGACTTTTGAGCCGACTCAAAACCAGTTGACTTTTGAGCCGACTCAAAACCAGTTGACTTTTGAGCCGACTCAAAACCAGTTGACTTTTGAGCCGACTCAAAACGAGTTGACTTTTGAGCCGACTCAAAACGAGTTGACTTTTGAGCCGACTCAAAACGAGTTGACTTTTGAGCCGACTCAAAACGAGTTGACTTTTGAGCCGACTCAAAACGAGTTGACTTTTGAGCCGACTCAAAACGAGTTGACTTTTGAGCCGACTCAAAACGAGTTGACTTGCGAGCCGACTCAAAACGAGTTGACTTTCGAGCCGACTCAAAACGAGTTGACTTTCGAGCCGACTCAAAACGAGTTGACTTTCGAGCCGACTCAAAACGAGTTGACTTTTGAGCCGACTCAAAACGAGTTGACTTTTGAGCCGACTCAACACGAGTTGACTTTTGAGCCGACTCAAAACGAGTTGACTTTTGAGCCGACTCAAAACGAGTTGACTTTTGAGCTGACTCAAAGCAAGTTGACTTTTGAGCTGACTCAAACCGAGTTGACTTTTGAGCCGACTCAAAACGAGTTGACTTTCGAGCCGACTCAAAACGAGTTGACTTTTGAGCCGGCTCAAAACCAGTTGACTTTTGAGCCGACTCAAATCGAGTTGACTTTTGAGCCGACTCAAAACGAGTTGACTTTTGAGCCGACTCAAAACCAGTTGACTTTTGAGCCGGCTCAAAACCAGTTGACTTTTGAGCCGACTCAAAACCAGTTGACTTTTGAGCCGACTCAAAACGAGTTGACTTTTGAGCCGACTCAAAACGAGTTGACTTTTGAGCCGACTCAAAACGAGTTGACTTTTGAGCCGACTCAAAACGAGTTGACTTTTGAGCCGACTCAAAACGAGTTGACTTTTGAGCCGACTCAAAACGAGTTGACTTTTGAGCCGACTCAAAACGAGTTGACTTGCGAGCCGACTCAAAACGAGTTGACTTTCGAGCCGACTCAAAACGAGTTGACTTTCGAGCCGACTCAAAACGAGTTGACTTTCGAGCCGACTCAAAACGAGTTGACTTTTGAGCCGACTCAAAACGAGTTGACTTTTGAGCCGACTCAACACGAGTTGACTTTTGAGCCGACTCAAAACGAGTTGACTTTTGAGCCGACTCAAAACGAGTTGACTTTTGAGCTGACTCAAAGCAAGTTGACTTTTGAGCTGACTCAAACCGAGTTGACTTTTGAGCCGACTCAAAACGAGTTGACTTTCGAGCCGACTCAAAACGAGTTGACTTTTGAGCCGGCTCAAAACCAGTTGACTTTTGAGCCGACTCAAATCGAGTTGACTTTTGAGCCGACTCAAAACGAGTTGACTTTTGAGCCGACTCAAAACCAGTTGACTTTTGAGCCGGCTCAAAACCAGTTGACTTTTGAGCCGACTCAAAACGAGTTGACTTTTGAGCCGACTCAAAACGAGTTGACTTTTGAGCCGACTCAAAACCAGTTGACTTTTGAGCCGACTCAAAACCAGTTGACTTTTGAGCCGACTCAAAACCAGTTGACTTTTGAGCCGACTCAAAACGAGTTGACTTTTGAGCCGACTCAAAACGAGTTGACTTTTGAGCCGACTCAAAACGAGTTGACTTTTGAGCCGACTCAAAACGAGTTGACTTTTGAGCCGACTCAAAACGAGTTGACTTTTGAGCCGACTCAAAACGAGTTGACTTTTGAGCCGACTCAAAACGAGTTGACTTGCGAGCCGACTCAAAACGAGTTGACTTTCGAGCCGACTCAAAACGAGTTGACTTTCGAGCCGACTCAAAACGAGTTGACTTTCGAGCCGACTCAAAACGAGTTGACTTTTGAGCCGACTCAAAACGAGTTGACTTTTGAGCCGACTCAACAAGAGTTGACTTTTGAGCCGACTCAAAACGAGTTGACTTTTGAGCCGACTCAAAACGAGTTGACTTTTGAGCCGACTCAAAGCAAGTTGACTTTTGAGCTGACTCAAACCGAGTTGACTTTTGAGCCGACTCAAAACGAGTTGACTTTCGAGCCGACTCAAAACGAGTTGACTTTTGAGCCGGCTCAAAACCAGTTGACTTTTGAGCCGACTCAAATCGAGTTGACTTTTGAGCCGACTCAAAACGAGTTGACTTTTGAGCCGACTCAAAACCAGTTGACTTTTGAGCCGGCTCAAAACCAGTTGACTTTTGAGCCGACTCAAAACCAGTTGACTTTTGAGCCGACTCAAAACGAGTTGACTTTTGAGCCGACTCAAAACGAGTTGACTTTTGAGCCGACTCAAAACGAGTTGACTTTTGAGCCGACTCAAAACGAGTTGACTTTTGAGCCGACTCAAAACGAGTTGACTTTTGAGCCGACTCAAAACGAGTTGACTTTTGAGCCGACTCAAAACGAGTTGACTTGCGAGCCGACTCAAAACGAGTTGACTTTCGAGCCGACTCAAAACGAGTTGACTTTCGAGCCGACTCAAAACGAGTTGACTTTCGAGCCGACTCAAAACGAGTTGACTTTTGAGCCGACTCAAAACGAGTTGACTTTTGAGCCGACTCAACACGAGTTGACTTTTGAGCCGACTCAAAACGAGTTGACTTTTGAGCCGACTCAAAACGAGTTGACTTTTGAGCTGACTCAAAGCAAGTTGACTTTTGAGCTGACTCAAACCGAGTTGACTTTTGAGCCGACTCTAAACGAGTTGACTTTTGAGCCGACTCAAAACGAGTTGACTTTTGAGCCGACTCAAAACGAGTTGACTTTTGAGCCGACTCAACACGAGTTGACTTTTGAGCCGACTCAAAACGAGTTGACTTTTGAGCCGACTCAAAACGAGTTGACTTTTGAGCTGACTCAAAGCAAGTTGACTTTTAAGCTGACTCAAACCGAGTTGACTTTTGAGCCGACTCAAAACGAGTTGACTTTCGAGCCGACTCAAAACGAGTTGACTTTTGAGCCGGCTCAAAACCAGTTGACTTTTGAGCCGACTCAAATCGAGTTGACTTTTGAGCCGACTCAAAACGAGTTGACTTTTGAGCCGACTCAAAACCAGTTGACTTTTGAGCCGGCTCAAAACCAGTTGACTTTTGAGCCGACTCAAAACGAGTTGACTTTTGAGCCGACTCAAAACGAGTTGACTTTTGAGCCGACTCAAAACGAGTTGACTTTTGAGCCGACTCAAAACGAGTTGACTTGCGAGCCGACTCAAAACGAGTTGACTTTTGAGCCGACTCAAAACGAGTTGACTTGCGAGCTGACTCAAAAGTCAACCCAGCTTTGACATTGCAAGCCCCTCCGCTCCTTGTATGGATTGTTCAGCCTTGACCCGACCCCCATCCTCTCCCCTCTCTTACCCCCTCTTTCCGCCCTCCCCTCCCCTTCCATTATCCCCATTCCCCCATCCACCTCCCACCAGCTTTGACATTGCTCTAGTCAGAAACGACCTGCTGGCCTCTCCTCTGGCAAGCCTTTCCGCTGCTCCTTGCACGAGTCGCTCAGCCTTGAACCCTTCCTTCCCCGCCACTCCCCCGTGCCCCTTCCCGTCCATCCCCAACCCCCCATCCACCCCCACCAGTTTTGACATTGCTCTAGACCGGAACGACCTGCTGGCCTCTCCTCTGGGAAAGCCCTTCCGCTCCGTGTACGAGTCGCTCAGCCTTGATCCAGACACTGATATAAGCCCTGTCACAACCCTTCCCGGCACCAGCCTCCCGAGGTGAGATGCGGTGGGATGGGATGGGATGCGGTGGGGTGTCTGGCCTCCTCTCTGGGGAAGCCCTTCCGCTCTGTGTATGACTCCCCAGGTGAGTGGGATGCTGTGGAGTGTGGTCGGATGCGGTGAGATGTGGTTGGATGGGATGGGATGGGTGGGCGACTTTTGAGGCGCCTCAGAGTCTTGTATGAGTCGCTCGGTCTTTATCTCACACAGACATCAGCCCCGTCACAACCGTTCCCGGCACCAGCCTTCACAGGTCTGATGGGGTGGGAAATGGTGAGATGCGGTGTGGTGCATTGGGATGGGATGCGATGTGACTGGCCTCCCCTGTGGGAAAGCCCTTCCGCTCCGTGTATGAGTCGCTCAGCCTTTACCCCGACACGGATATCAGCCCTGTCACAGCCCTTCCTGGCACCAGCCTCCCAAGGTGAGATGCGGTGGTATGCGGTGGGATGGGATGGGGTGCAGTGGGGCGAAATGTTGTGGGGTGGGATGCGGTGGGGTGGCTGGCCTCCCCTCTGGGAAAGCCTTTCCGCTCCGTGTACGAGTCGCTCAGCCTTGACCCAGACACGGACATCAGCCCTGTCACAACCATTCCCGGCACCAGCCTCCCCAGGTGAGATGGGTGGAATGCGATGGGATGGGGTAGGGTGTGATGAGGTGGGGTGAGATGCGGTGGAGTGTCTGGCCTCCCCTCTGGGCAAGCCCTTCCTCTCCTTGTATGAGTCGCTCAGTCTTGACCCCAACATGGTCATCAGCTGCGTGCCGGTTGTTCCTGGCACCAGCCTCCCCTGGTGGGATGCGGTGGGATGTGGTGAGATGGGTGGGTTGAGGTGAGATGAGCAGGGAGCAGTGGGATGGGATGGGGATGGATCGGGTGGCATGCGGTGGGATGCAATGGGGTGGGATGGAATACGATGGGTGGGATGGGATGGGATGGGATGGGATGGGATGGGATGGAATGACATGGGACGAGATGAAGTTGCTCACTTGCCCTCTCTGGTTTGATTCCCACCCACTTCTCTACCCCCTCACACCCCACCAGTCTAATTCCCCTTCCCAGTCGCCTGGAGAGAGTGTATTTCTACTTCGGCACACCAATTGACTTCAAGAACCTTCCACCATCTGCAATAAAGGTGTGATCAGAGTGCAGCATGCCATCAGTGTGGCATCATGCCATCATCATGCCATCATCATGCCATCATCATGCCATCATCATGCCATCATCATGCCATCATCTTGCCATCATCATGCCATCATCATGTCATCATCATGCCATCATCATGCCATCATCATGTCATCATCATGCCATCATCATGCCATCATCATGCCATCTCATGCCATCGTCATGCCATCATCATGCCACCATCATGCATCATCATGCCACCATCATGCCATCATCATGCCACCATCATGCCATCATCATGCCATCATCATGCCATCATCTTGCCATCATCTTGCCATCATCATGTCATCATCATGCCATCATCATGCCATCATCATGTCATCATCATGCCATCATCATGCCATCATCATGCCATCATCTTGCCATCATCATGCCATCATCATGCCATCATCATGTCATCATCATGCCACCATCATGCCATCATCATGCCATCATCATGCCATCATCTTGCCATCATCATGCCATCATCATGTCATCATCATGCCATCATCATGCCATCATCATGTCATCATCATGCCATCATCATGCCATCATCATGCCATCATCTTGCCATCATCATGCCATCATCATGCCATCATCATGCCATCATCATGTCATCATATGCCATCATCATGCCACCATCATGCCATCATCATGCCATCATCATGCCATCATCTTGCCATCATCATGCCATCATCATGTCATCATCATGCCATCATCATGCCATCATCATGTCATCATCATGCCATCATCATGCCATCATCATGCCATCATCTTGCCATCAGCATGCCATCATCATGCCATCATCATGTCATCATCATGCCATCATCATGCCATCATCATGCCATCATCATGCCATCATCATGCCATCATCATGCCATCATCATGCCATCATCATGCCATTGTCATGCCATCATCGCATCAAGCCAACGTGGCACCACATGTGGCCCATCGCATGCCATGTATGTCCGACTGATTGGTCAAAGGTTTGCGCAAGTGCATTGGCACATGGGATGGGAGTGGGTGTAAACAATGGAATATGCTGGAGTGTGTGCATATATGAAGCAATCTCAAGTAGTCTTCTCTTCGTCCTCTAAACCCCCGTCCATCGTTCCTTTGCCCGAGCACCTCAAGTATCGGCATGTTCGCAGTGCGATGCTGTTTACATCACTCTCTTGAGTCTGTGGGCATGTGCGCTTATCCCCATTCATATTACCGTTAACGACTCAATTCCGTCTACTGCTATCGCCTTCCCTTGTCTTCTGCTCCCTTTTCTCCTTCGCCTCCTTTTTCCCCTCGCCTCCATTTTCCATGCCCCTCCTTTTTTCTTCCAATTTCCACTTGATTCATGTGTGTTTTTTTTACAATTCTGCTGTATTGTGTCGTCGCATGGGGAATGCGCTACTGCCACCTCTCTGCCACCACCCGTTTGCCACCAACTCACTCCCAATGTACTCTCTGCACCGCGTCAACTTCAGGACGGTATGCAACTTGTATTCAGTAGCATCTTCTTTCATGCGCATCTTGGTTTCATCGTTCATTTAATCGGCTCTTCTGCCTGTCTGTCTTTTCTTATCCGTGTATCGTGCTCTCTTCCCTGTTCAGCTTAGTTTCAGCTTCTGACTCAAAGCTTTCCAGCTCATAGTGATTCATGTCTTGACTTTTCCTGCAACGCTGGAATGGCGTATCGGGCTAGGCGGGAACACACATGGGTGTGCCTTGCTTGTGTGAAATTCTGTGCATGTATGTATCCATGCATGCATGTACACATCAACATTCATGCTTGCATGTGTGTGCATGTGCATGTGCATGTGCATGTGCATGTGCATGTACATGTACATACGCGCATGATCCAGGCATGGTGCGGCATGCAGTGGAGAAGGGTATCAACCACCTGCTGACGTTGAGAGAGACCGATCCGGTGAGTAGATAGAGAGAATGTCAGCTGGGAAAGTCCCAATAAGTTGGGATAACCCCGTCACAATGGGTTTGCAAAAGGGACAGCCAGGCATGGTGCTGCATGCAGTGCAGGAGGGTATCAACCTCCTGCTGACATTGAGAAAGAGCGATCCGGTGAGCTGAGAGAGGAGCAAGTGTTTTCCCACTCCCCCTCTTTGCGCTGCTCCTTGTGCGCGGATTTACATCTGTCTGTCGCCCCGTGGGCCCTCCCGCACTGCAGGAGAGGGAGCTGCTCACCCGCTTGATCTCCAAGGTGCAACGCCTGTGGCCGGAATTCTCCCGGAATTGACTGGAGCTGAGTGAGTGTATAACGCGGGTTCTGACATTCGATTCGTTATGCTATATACCTCCGCAAATGCCTATGCTACATATTTATGCATTGGAGCATTGCACCAATATCATGATACTGCTTGATGGGCTCGCTTTTCCATTCTGTGGTGGTTGTGCATAAAACGATGGATCGTCTTTGTGTTTCCATATTATAGTGTACATATTTTAATTGTACTATCACAAAATCATACAGAAGTGGCAATGTCTGCAAGGGGTACAACTTTTGGTGTGGTTTGTCATGTCAGGTTTGGTGCAGGAGGGTTTGCTGCCTGGTCAAAAAGGCGCCACCCTGACATCGAAGTTGGTGTCAGCTTGGCGGGAATGACATGGCGCAGCGCCAATCAGCAGCCTCCCCAGAATCTTGCTTGTATACTGTACAAACGAGGGTAGCAGTTCAGCGATCGGTTTGGGGGATGCACGAGGGTCGTTTGCTTCGGTTTGAAAAGTTCCTACGGGGGAAGGAGCGATCGCTTCCGCCCGCTCGCAGGAGCGAAAGGGGTTTTGTTCAAACTCCCCTGGAAGACGAACTCGCCCTGGGGGAATGGTGTTTCCCCTTCACGAAATTCCGGTAGGAAGCTCCTTCCTGGTCGACAGCCTGTTTACTTGAGCAAGTAGTGTTGGCACAAGTATTAATCTTGCTCGTCTGATCAGAAACCTCTGGCTTCGTGGTCGTCAAATCAGGCATTGCAGAAAAGCAGAAGCCAGAGCATTAGCAGGTCAAACTTAGGACAAGATGATAGGTTCCACAAGGATCCATTGTCTTCCTGACCATGTTCTTGTCAAGATCTTCTGGCATTCCGACGTTTTCCAGCCCACCTCGTCATTGTCTCTCTCGGATTACGCTAGTAGGGAGGAAAACGAAGATTCAGAGCCTGACCCGCATTTTTCAACACCTTCTGCCTCTGCCGATGTCGCTCACGTTCTCCTCATTGCCTCCGTATGTCGTCGCTGGCGGGAGCTCGCACACGAATCTGTCACAACGTTTCACGTTTCACGAAATCGTCTGGTGTCTCGCGAGTATCTCAAACGCGTTCTGGTGTCCTTTCCGAGCCTCACTCGCCTGCACTTGAGCGACGGAAGCATGGAAACGATCGACGACGAGTTTCTGGCATTTCTCTGCTTTTCGTCACCAAAGCTAACCGCTCTTCATATCGGCACAGGCATTGCTCCATACGACGACCTTGAGCGTGACGAGGAGGAGGACATGGACTACTATGACGAATCAGATCACCCCGTCACGACAGCTGGGCTGGACATTCTCTTCCGCCATTGTAGCCGTTTGGAGCAGCTGTCACTCCAGTGCCTCCATTGGACCACAAAGCTTCCGTCCTCGTTATGCCTGTTGACGCGCCTGCACACGCTGTCACTGGGAGAGGTTTTGCCATTGGTGGATCCCAACTTCTCAAATCTCTCTTCTCTCACGAGGCTGTCTATTCAAAAGCTGGACATGCGGTTACATCAGATGGCGCCGTTAACTCGCCTTCCGAATCTGACTAGCCTGTTCTTCCCAGGAGAGTCATACTTTCACAGTTTCGAGGGGGATTTCTCATTTGGTCAACTGACAGGTCTTCGTTCGCTGGGATTCGTGCGGGGGTCAACGGACTTCCCCTCGATGTTTCCATCAGATTCGCCGTGTTTCCGTCTTCAACGTCTGCTGCTTAGCAATGTTTCGAACATCCCGCCTGAGGAGCTTGGAGAGCGTTTCCCGGTACTTCGCGAGCTCTGTCTTTCCGGTGGTCGTTTATTTACCGAGCTACTCGTACCAGATTCCCTGACAAGCCTCAGCACCTTGGAAATTCTAACCATTTTCAACAATAGTGTGTCCAGCCTGCCCGAAATTTTTGGAGATTTTCCAGGGCTGAAGTCTTTAGCCTTGAGAAGCTATTCGCTGAAGAGACTCCCCGATTCTATTGGGTTACTCACAGGGCTTCAGAAACTATTTTTGGACCATGTGGACATTGACACCCTTCCCGCAGCGATTTCCTACTTGGCTGCTCTTGAATCATTGAGTATCGCGGGATCAAGGCTGGCGGCACTTCCGGAGGAGATAGGCGAGCTGACGAATCTCCGCGATTTGGTGCTGAGCTGGTGTGCAGAACTGCAGCAGCTGCCGGCGTCACTCAGTCGACTCTCTTCTCTAACACGGCTCGATATCAGCAAATGCCCCATTGTTATCCTTCCAAAGGGTACAGGCCATCTTGGTAACCTGCGGGAGTTGACCTTGAGCTGCTGCAGTGAGCTGACAGCTCTGCCAGCCTCCATCAATCAACTGTGCCGCCTGAAGAACTTAAAAGCCTGCTTATGTATCAAGCTCGTGTCTGCACCTCGAGCCTTGCAAAACCTTTCATGCTTGCAGGAGCTGGATCTGACGGGTTGTGTTCTTTTGCAGGAGACCTTAGAATCATTGCCGCGGTCTTTGGAAACATTGAGCTTGGGAAACGACACCAGCAGCATTATTCTTCCGGATTTGTCAACGACTCCAAATCTCAAGAAGCTGAGTTTGATTCAGGTCACTACTGTGAACGCACCAACGACCAGCCATTGCCTCTCTCAGATAGAGCACCTGGAGTTGCACCTGGGCGCTGAACAAACAGAATCTCCACTCCTGCTCGGGTTCCTTTCATGCCTCCGTGATCTACACATCTCAAATGCCAAGGCATTGCGTCACCTGCCCCATGACATCGGCTCTGCTCTGCCTCAGCTGCGACAGCTGCACGTGGAAAGAGCGGAATCTCTGACGGAGATTCCAGAAAGTGTAACACGGCTGGTGCAACTCAGATCTCTTCATATTGAAGCTCCAAGATTAACTCATCTTCCTGACACCATCTCTTCCTTATCAAGATTGGGCAACCTTAGCCTGCGTAATTGCTCCTCCCTGACAAGCCTGCCCGGTTCTTTCACCAACCTCACTTACCTGCACAAATTGGATGTCAGCAAGACGGCACTGCACTTCCTTCCCCCTAACTTCCACCATTTGGCACGACTCAGAGAGCTGGACCTGAGTGACTGTGAACAGCTTCAGTCCCTGCCGCAACACCTGTCTAACTTGATGCTGCTGCGAGTGCTGAATCTCAAGGGCTGCAAGATGCTAGGCCGAGAGCCGGTTCCTATCAAGCTTTACATAAGGGTTGGACTCAAGTCGTACCAAGACTAGCCGTAGGTCGATCCAGCAGCTAGGTTGTTACTACGTGAAATACGGTATGCTCCTTGATGTTGTTTGGGTTTTTTTTGTACAACTGCTGTATTCTTTCATAGATACGCACAGCACGTGCAATACCGCAGTGCCTTACGTGTAGGACATGCATGGACGTATCCGGGACTGAAAAGGGTGTTTCCGGAATCATTCTCAAAGCTGTGATTGAAAGGTATTGTAAAATGGGCCGATATCATTTAGTTCTAAATAGATTAGAACTTCTTATCACAGAAAAAGCATGAGCAACATGCCCAACCCTGTCATGTCATGTGCTTGGGGCTGCCTCTGGTACCTTGTACCAGTAACACTCAGCTTCACTATAAGGTGCCTTCAGACACTGGAAAGCTCTCGGCCTCGTAATAGAGTGCCTCAAAACACTAGTAGCTCTCTTCTGCCTCAATGTCTGGCCGCGAGAGAGTGTAGTTGAGGGCGTCGAGTGTGAGCTGGGAGGGGCAGGGAGAGGAGTCGGGGATAGGAAGAAAACAAAAGAGAAGGTAGCGGAATGATAAAGAGAGCAACGTAATGATTAAATGGATTGTGGCATGGGTGCATGCTGGTGGTTGTTTCATCTCATCAAGGTCGTTTCATCTTAACGTGGTCGTTTCATCTCACCATGCTCGTTTCAACTCATTGTGCTCGTTTCATCTCACCGTGGTCATCTCATCATCCAGTGCCCCTTCATAGTTCGACACCGTGAAAATTGTGGGGGATGTGAAGAGACATACAAGTCAGTGAACACATCCTTCGTCACCACCCCTGCATGCACACAGATGGACGATGGGCCATGCGCAGTGAGAGACGGGAAATGGGAGATGGTGAATGTGCTGCAGCATGGGAAGCGTGGTACCAGGACCATGCATGCATGCATGCACAGACAAGTGGCATGCACAGCCAAGTGGCATGCACAGCCAAGCGGCATGCCCCCCTCACCACGCCCCCTTCACCACGCCCCCTTCACCACGCCCCCTTCACCACGCCCCCCGCACCACACCCCCCTTCAGCTAAGGACAGGACCCAAACCGACACTACCTAACTCAGCAATACACACACCTTGATGTTGGTCAGCTGCCACTCACCTGCCGGCATGAATGTGCATGCATGAGAGTGAGAGTGCACGCATGAGAGTGAGTGTGCGCGCATGAGAGTGAGTGTGCGCGCATGAGAGTGAGTGTGCGCGCATGAGAGTGAGAGTGCGCGCATGAGAGTGAGGGTGCACGCATGAGAACGAGTGTGCGCGCATGAGAACGAGTGTGCACGCATGAGAACGAGTGTGCACGCATGAGAACGAGTGTGCATGCATGAGAACGAGTGTGCACGCATGAGAACGAGTGTGCATGCATGAGAGGGAGTGTGCACGCATGAGAACGAGTGTGCATGCATGAGAGGGAGTGTGCACGCATAAGAGTGAACAGCTTGCGTGCATGCATGCACAAGAGTGA